AAAACAAGAATGATAATATCAACTTACTAGGTAGTTGTGAGAATTTGGAATAAGATATATAATGTGCTCTGTGTAGTGACTAGCACATAGCAAGTGCTTAATTAATGGTATATATACATATATATACACATATATGAATATATATACATACATGTATATAAATGCATATAAATGTAGTCAAATCATTTGGTATTTCTGAACTGCAGAACTTTTCTGGTCCATAAAAATTACTTAAAATAAACAGAGTTTTATAGAGGTTTACTATGCATCAAACTCTATACTGGATATTTTGAGGTTAATCAGAAAAGCATAAAACATTATATAGACCCCTGAGAAATCAATGCTAGGCAATTTTATTCAGGCTGTGAGCACAATAGCTGGTGGACGTGGAAGTCAGAACATGCAGTTTACCCTTGAAGGACATATATTATTTAGAAAGAGAAGGGCAGCTGGAAGTCATAAGTGCTGCCACCACAAACTGGCAGTTCTCAGGCTCAGTGTACCTAGAAGAGACATTTTATTTGGCCTTCACATTAGCATCTCCGAATACCAGAGAATGAATGAGCCATCTAGAAGTAGGCGAACAACCACATTTTCTAAAAGGAAAATATTTCATCCGTTAAATAAATATAATACCTTTTTCTAGTCTGGTATCAATATAAAAGGCATGTGAGTAATGAGTTAGTTGGGAGTTAATTGACTGCGGAGACTCTACTTTCAGTCTCTGCCTGTATTTTTTGAATTAATATACACAGTGGGTGACTCAGCAAAAGGATTTAAAAATAAATTCTGTATAGAAAGATCCCATCAATTTGATGTCTTCATAATTCATGACGAGTAGGCCCATAAGAGCTCTATTTTCTCTTCAACTTTGGAAAATAAAAGATGCCGTTAGTTTAAATTAGGCTTGTATGTGGAATAAGCATGTGTATCAACAAATATAGTTTGACTCAGATGCTGTATATAATAAATGCCAGAAAAAATGAACTTTTTTTTTTTTTAAAGGTGTAAGGTAAAACTTGTGTTAACAAGCTAGGGTAAAAGTATCTTAAAGAGTTGGTAGATAACACATAAATTTATAAAACTCAGTTATGAAAACTCAAAATATAAGTGGATAATTATTATAGATTGGCTAACTGTTTTACAGAGTACTCTTAAAATATAAATAAAATGTTATTTGGGACCTAGTCATATTTGCAGACTGTGTGGATATTTAGGATAGCTGATGAATATGTAGATATAATGTGAAGTTGCATATTTTTATGTTGAAAAGTGTCCTAGCAATTCTGTATTAGATGCTTCTTACATTGGCTACAGAAGGTACGAAATGTCCATATGGAAAGAATTATGGTATAAAATATGTTCACTTCATTTATTTGTTTCCCCCAAGAAGTTGAAACCCCCAAGGAAGCCGATTGTGGATGATATTTTATCTCCTCTAGCTGTAGGAAATGAAAGCATAGAAAAGTGAATCAGATTTGTCTGAACGCTTCTGGAGCCAGGAGGCACAGGGCTCAGGTGTCTATTTCCAGGCATCAATCAGTAATTTGGTCACATACTTTTCTTTAATATCAGATTTTGCTTTCTATTCATGGGTGGCATAAAGGAAAACTTTCTAAACACTTAAAGTCTTGATCTAAATCCTAACAAGGAGAAGAGTAAATAAGTGAGATAATTTAAGTTTAAGGAATACCTTTTACCTCTGAAATATTTTTTTCTTTTGAAGTGTGTAAAAATGTACCTTTAATCTGTATAGTAGTTTTTCACTCTAGTCTATTAGAATATTTTAATAAAATATCAGGAAAAGAGATTAATATAACTCTTCAGAGGTATGTTATATTGGTAGGTTTTGTGTTTATTGTGGTTTAGGGTAATTAAAAAAATAAAGTCTAAACTTTATTTACCTACATCAGTTGTTGACTTTGCAGAGCATGGAGAATACAGTACCAGTCATGCATAAAGTACCTGTTTGTCATCATGAGTTTAGACATGAATTGGAACCAATGGCCCATTAAATACCTTCTTTTGCTGTTTAAAGCATATTCTAGCTTTGCAAAATAATTGTTAATGCAGAATGTTGTAACTGAGCCAAAGAATGAAATTCCTACACCTTTGGTCAGGGCAGAGGTTGAGTCAAGTACTCTAAGTTGTGTTTTTTTTGTTTTGTGATTCTGTACCATTTGAAAGTCTTGCCTAGAGTGTACTTAGGAATAGGGAAATCAAGAAATAGTACAAGTTATTTTTTGACACACGTGTGTATGTGTGTGTCTAATTTTTTTATTTGTAATGATATTGTAATACTTTCTATGAAATAAAATTATTTTTTAAGAAAAATGTTATTTACTTAAATATTTACCAGTGTTTTCCACAAGAAAGCATTTCATTTTTTTGCTGTAAAAAAATGATAGCCATTTTTTACTTATACTACACTTAATAAAGAAAAAGACTTGCTTGTAATATTGATATAACAGGACAATATGCACACACCATAGGTTAAAAATTTCATTGTGAGATGTAATTCACTATGAGATTTAATAATTTTTAATTTCCTCTTTAAAGGACAGAGCTAAATTTTAATTTAGAAGGTACTTATATAAAAAATTCAGGAATAGCTTTAGCAATCAATTAAGAAGGATTTTTTGTCTTCAGAGTGTGTGTCTGATGTGAGATGATTATAAATATTCTAAATTATTTTTCTTCCTCTGATTTTTACTTCTCCCATACTGTATTAATGGTGCTTTGTGTAGGAAAAAAAGTTTCAGCAAATGTTCCCTTTCTCTACCGTTTCTTTTCTACTGTAAGAAATTGATAATTTTGTAAATGTTTACTTACCTGAGTAGCCAAAATTTAACAAACGTTACAGTAGTTAACTGGTAGGATGATAGGTACCTTGCACTATTGTCAATTGAAAAGACTGTTCAAATATGATATTATTTTACTTGTTATTATCCTAAAAGAGAAACTCGGGATAAAATAGAACTTGAAAGAGAGACTATATGCGTTTTGGGGGAATGGAAAAGGTGGGGAGTGAGGAATTTTGGAGGGATTGGGCTAGGATGATAATAGGCATGAGGTAGTAGACATTTTAGTAGTACTAAACCAACCAAAAAAAGCTTTGAACCTATTGGTATTTGAACCTATTGGTATTTAAGTACAGTGAGGACATAGTTAATAGAATCTCTAACATTAAAAGTAACAATATTAATCATAAATATAAATTAATTTTTAACAAATAACTTTACCTGCCAAATTTCTTAGTGGAAGATTTTGACAGTCTAAGTAGTAATGTTGTAAGCTGTCATTTGGGATGGTAACTTTATTACCCCTTTTCACTTCTTATCTACCTTAGAGAATGCCAAAGACTGGACACTTTTTTATATAGTCGATAACAGGAAGAGAGTAATTTCAAGAAGAGCAAATATTTAATGAGCACTTATTTTATGGCAGCCAAGTTATCAGCAATTTGGATAAATCCTATTTAATCCTCACAATACCCCTATAAGGTAGAGACTATTATTATCATTGTATGCATTTATAAAGAGATGTATATAAATTTAAGTAATCTAAATTAATATTTAAATAAATAGATTTATATTATTGTAGAAGACAAAATTATGCAAAGACCACATAAGATTTAGCCAACCAAATATACCAGGGCTGAATTGAGATTTGAGCCACGGCAGTTAGTTGTCATACTATATTCTTTTAACTACTACTCTGCCATGGAGTATAACATCTACTCTGCCGCCTAAATTATGTTTTCTGCTCCCAAAGAAATGAAGGTTTATTGAATTAGAAGATTTACTATATGTAGCTTCTCTATTTTAGAGGCAGCATGATGTGATAGTTAAGCACTGTACCAAATTTAAGAAAAGGTGATTATAAATGTAAAAGAAACATTGACGATAGGGAGCTTAGTTCATTAATACATGGAATGTTTAATATTTGTCATATATTTTACACTTAGGAACACAGTATTAAAAGAAAACTTGTCAAATATTTTGTGACAATGGCTGAAATCTTGAATATAATGTGAGTTGTTCATACACTTGACACTTAAGTTTTCATTATAATTTCTCCAGGCTGTTATGTTGATTTAGAAGCATCCTTCGTGGAATCCTGAAGAACAGGGTTTTAGAAATCATCTTAAGTCCCATCATTTCAAACTCAGGAAATGAGCTCCAAGAGATTGTTTTTCCCCATATTACCCATCTTAAAGAAAAAAAAAAAAAGCCTAAATTATGTTTTCTGCAAGAGATGATAAAATAATGCATATATTTATGATGTATATAGATATTCATGGTAGAAATTTTGTTGTAGATGAACTACCGTTGGATAACCTGTATCATTTATTTATTTATAGCAAGCATTTATTGAACTTCTATTACCTTTGGTGGCAGGCATTGAGAATACAAAACTCAGTCCTTATCTTCAAATAACTTATAGTATACTATATATCCTTATAGCAAAATAAATAAATATATTTCTATTTATCCTAAGAGCACTGATAGGAAATGTCAGCATTTCAATTTAACCCACTCCCAAATCCTGAAAAGTGATTATTACAATTCTCATTTTTACACCCAAAAAATACTGGTTTGGAGAAGTTCTGTTAAACTGCTCCAGGGTTATAACACTTGGTAAGTGCCAGAGCTGGATGCAAGCCCTGTTTAGCCTGGCACTGAGGTCTGTGCTTTTTTCCACGAAGCCACAGAATGTGATTTACTTTGATCACAATCACATGCAATCCCCTTTCCAACACTTATGATAGTCTGACAGGTTTATTTTTGAAGGCTCAACCCAGTATTACATAGGGAAAGCACATTCTCGAGTTATAGAGAAGAACCCTTGAAAAGAGATCATCCAGGTGTGAAATGGGAGTTCAGAACTTATTTTCGTGGTTTATTCCTGCTCAATTGTGTGTACATCCATGCTCATTAAGGTGTTTTAAGTGTCTTCATTGGGCTACAATAACATGGATTTTTTCCCCTCTCTTTCAGATATGGGAAAATTGTATCAACAAAGGCAATTCTGGACAAAAACACAAATCAGTGCAAAGGTAGGTGTAATGGCATCTGCGCCCTGAGCTCTTGCCCATGCTGTTCAATTGATAGCTCCTCCAAGGCAGAGGTCCAGGCACCCACTGCACAGTGACCACAATGTACAGTATATGGCAAATGTCTTTAATAACGCTGAGGCTTTGATGAGTTATATTTCTAGTAATGTTGCTCATTATTTTTTTTCATTAACAAACAAAACGAAAATCACAAATTAGAGCAAGTATCAAATTGCTTCAGCAAAAAACTGAATTGCCTCCTAACAACTTTGGGTTGTCTGATTTGAATGATATCATCAGTGATGCAAATTGATTTCCTATATAAAAATGAGGAACTCTGGGGAAAACTTCCCCATGCAAAACACATTTTAATTTATCTGTTCTTTAAAGCTTTAGCCACATTTGTTGACTAGGAATGAATTTACTGATAGGTCCAATGTCTGTAAGCTTCAGCTATAAGTACCTTATAGAATCTCAGTATTAGTAACTTATTAAGGCACCTTTTTTTTTTTTTTTTTGGAGGGTGAGGAAATATTTCTGAAGTTATTTGACTATATCTGTGGCTCTTGTTTCTTCATGTCTCAAAATCCCATACTTTTTTTAAGGGTTGCATTAAATTATTTGTGAAATCTCTATGGCCTCTCTTATACAGTTCTTCCTGGAAAGTTGGAAGGCTTCTTGTAACATGTCCTTTGTTGTTCCTTTAATCCAATCTTTTTTAAAATACTGACATTAGGAAGCAGGGTAGAGCCAAGATTGTTCTTAACACTCCCTCTATTTCACATATAAATATAATGTACTTAAATTTTAAGAATGAATACTCATACATTACAAATATATCCTAGCCTATTTGGGTAATGGCAGTCAGATTTAACTCAGCAATTAAAAAAAAATATTTCATGTCTCCTACATTCTTGCAAATATACTAGATATTCAAGATAAAAAATAATAAGACATCATTTCTGTCATCTATTAGCTCAATTTCTAGTTGAAAACGAAACCATCAACTAAAACAGGAATCTAATTCTAATAAAATTATTAGGAACAGTATATCAGTCTAATATCTGTGAGAATACAACAGAGATATCTCTAAGAGGAGTATCCACAAAATACTGTGGGAGAAGAATATAGAGATTCTTTTTTGGGGAATTAAGTTTATAAAACCAAGGCAGAATGGATCAGCTTGGGAAAGGTTGGTGTTCAAGCGAAAGAATTTCAGAATGTAATTGATTAGACCGACATATCTGGAATAGAAAAATGCACAGGTAAGGATATTAGTAGAAAGAAGGAAAGGATCAATTTTGGAGACTAAAAAAGTTATTCTGGATATTTTGAACTTAATTCTGTATGAAACCCTTAAAATTTTTTTGAGCAGACACAATATAATTCTATCCATGCTTTAGAAAAGTTATTCTGGCAAAGGTGAGTGAAATCAAATTGCAAAGGGGAGAAACTAGAGGCAGAAAAAAAGCAATGTAGATTTGAAATCCATAGATCAAGAGGAAAATAAGGAAAGTCACCCAGGCTCTGTTGGAGAAATGGAAAGGGGGTCACCTTGAATGTTTCAAAGGTAAAATTGAACATTCTCTATAAAAGCGAAAGAAAGGGATATATAAAACGAAGCCTACATGTTCAGCTTTCATGATTGGGGAAGGTGGCTGTGCCATTTACTGAGGCAAAAAAGTCCAGAAATAGTAGTTTTAAGTTTTGCGGAGAAGACGATGAGTTGTGTATGGGACATGCTGAGTTAGAGGCCTGGGCATAGTATCCACATGGGAGATGTCAAAGAGGAAGGTACAAGACAGCTCAGAGCTGCAGATGGTGACCGAAATCAAGGGAATAGATGGTTACACCAAAGGTAACTATGGAAGGGGAACGAGGTGGAGTTCATGAGGGTAGGCAGCTGAAAACTGAATCTTGGAGAACATGTAAGAACAAAGCTGGCCCTTGACTAGGGGATACTCTTTACTCCTGGCCTGTGGGAAGCACATAGTATGTTAGAAGCATTAGAATGCTAATTCTATTCCTTCTAGACATGTCTGGCCTATTTCCAAAACCTCTGGGTAAAAATATCTATAAGAACAACCAGGGAAAACTGAGGCACCTAACTCAAGCAGCCAATAATATTGATTGAGCACTCATCAGATGTACACAGGCTTCACAGGCAAGTGACACCTGTGAACCTCAGTAGATCTTATGACGTCTGATAATTGGAGTGATCTATATGAAGGGATCATTCGCTATGCAAAGTTTTGCTCAAGAGTGCAGGTGTCCCTTACCACTGTACGACATTTGTGGCAACAAAAGTATAAATTGCTTACTTGAAAACTGTATTTTTGTGTACTTGTGAGGTTTGAAGAGTAACAGATGTAACTGAAATGGGTTGTCAGAGTTGCCATAAGCAGTTATCTCTTATCAGTGTGGGTACTGATATGGACAAGGGCTGTGGATATTCTCACCTCAACTCCTGACACTCCTATCCATATTTCCTTGTAACTGCTTATTTATTTTTCTCTCTCTCTCTCCAAAGAGACTTTTAAACTCAATGAAGACAGGACCTGTATAATCTACAAAACTTCTTTAAAGCGGGGTCTTGCAGGGAAAATGTCTATTGGGGATCTTAGAAGAAAATATTAGAATATATTTTTCTTCTTTGTTTTATATCAAGTTTCTGTGTGTTTATAATGTATATATAAGGATAAAATTATGCAAATGCATGTTTTGAACAAATAAATATGTTAATATTGGGTTTGCTGCTCCAAAATATTTTTATTCATGGTAATATAGATTTTAGGAGTAGTTTGGAGATCACTTGTCTCAAACATAAAATACACCGATAGATACAGAGGGAGGAAAAGGAGGGAAGGAAGGGGGGAAGAAAGGGAGTCAGAAAGGAAGGAAGGAAGGAAGGAAGGAAGGAAGGAAGGAAGGAAGGAAGGAAGGAAGGAAGGAAGGAAGGAAGGAAGGAAGGAAGGAAGAAAGGAA